CTGCTCCTTAATGTCTCACAGCTGGTCCCATTTATGTGTTTATGTCCCCCTCTCAAAGGGCCTGCCTTCAGCGTCCTCTTCAGCTCTGCAGCTGAGGAGCACCCTCGAGGTCCTGGGTTTCTGTCCCTGGAGCTGTCAGCTCTGTGACCCCAAATCAGGTTAGCACCTAGACTCTGGGTCAGAGTCTACCAAGACCAGCCACTTGGAAAACCACATCTGCTGCTGCCTAACGCACTAATTCAGCTTCAGGGACCAGGAATGGAAGAGGGAGGGGGAGCCTGAACGGTGAGAATTGCCCAGGGTGAGGATCTGGGGGTGGGCAGCAGAGTGCTGGTTACAGAATTCTCTGAGCCCCCCTCCCCCAGGTGCCAAAGATGCAACTTCCCCCGGTCCCTGCCTCCAGCTGGGATCGCTACCCAGGACCAGCTCCATGATCTGCAGGGCCTGGTGCAAAATGAAAAGGCCAGGCCCCTTGTTCAAAACTTAAGAATTTCAAGACGGTGGCCGCAGAGCATAAACCGAGCATGGGGACCGTCTGAGCGTGGGGCCCCGTGGGACTGTGCAACAGACACAACGTGAAGCGGATTCTGCCTCTGTCCTCTCCCTGCTCCTGGGTCCTCACGCCAGGACACACCCTCCTCTGGGTCTCCACAGCCCCCGTGCTCATCTCCATCCTGCCTTGTCCTTGCTCGCGTCCCTGTCTGTCCCCCCAGCAAACCATGCGTTCTCTGAGCGCCCGTCTGCAACCACCACCCAGCGCGGTGTCTGGGACCCAGGGAAGGCAGGCCTATTTGCTGACTGAACGGGAACAGAAAACGTCGGCTTTAAAAACCACGGCTCTCCACTTCATACCCACGAGGTTGGCTATCATTTGAAAAAAAATAATAAAACCAGAAAATAGCAAGTGTCGGTGAGGATGCGGGAGAAACGGAAACCCTGATACTTTGCTGGTGGGAGTGCAAATGGTGCAGCTACCGTGAAAAATAGCTTGGTGAGTCCTCAAAACATTAAACCCGGAGTTAACCACCTGACCCAAGCAATTCGTCACCTAGGGGTTCACCCAAAAGACTGAAAACCCTATGTCCACACAAAAACGTGAATAGCAGGACTATCCAAAGGGTGAAGACAACCCAAGTGTCCATCAATGGAGGAAGGACAAACAGAATGTGGGTTATCCTGAAGGTGGAATATTACTCAGCCATGAAAAGGAACAAAGCGCTGCCATGCGCTATAATGTAGATGAACCCTGACCACATGACGCCGAGCGTAAAAAGCCAGACACAAAAGGACACGTAGTGTGGGATTGCATTGATATCCGGAACAGGCAAATGATAGAGACGGAAGCAGGGGTGGGGGAGCAGGGACTGGAGGGTGGCTGTTAATGGGTGTGGGGTTTTGGGGGGGGGGGACGATGGAAATGGCCTGGAAGTACATGATGGTGACAGTCACACCACAACGTGAATGCACTAAATGTCATTAGTGGTAAATTTCATGTTATGTGTATTTTACCACAATAAAAACAATTTAAAAAACAAATGCAGTGTGGTGCCTTTAGTTGGAACCTGGAACTGAAGGAGGGCATGAGTGGAAAAGCCAGTGACATACAAGGAAAGCGTGGCGTTTCACTGCCAATGCTGGTTTCTGAGTTGTGACAAATGTATCATGGTCACGTGAGATGCTAATATAAGGGGAAACTGGGCAAGGATATATATATATATATATGAACAATGCAACTTTTCTGTAAATCGAAAATTATTCCAAAATAAAAACTGTATTTTAAAAAACTGTATCCGCCTTCTAACAAGGGACTAGCTTGGTCTCTGGAACCATTCTGGGTTTGCAAGCTGGGGATGTGGAGGTGACTCTGACACGGGAGAGGAGGAGCATCTGGGACCCCCAGCCTCGGGGTGGGGAGGGGTGAGGCAGAGAGATGAGCAGACGGGAGGGGGGAAAGAGAAGCCTGGGCTAGAATGGGTTGGGTTGGGGGACCCCTGAACATAGAGGTTGCAAACTGGTGACCCACAGGCTGAACTCTGCCTAGAGATGTGTTTTATTGACCCTCGGTTTTGTAAAAAGTTGAGCCCATCTAAAAAAAGCAGTTGGCCTCACATTAAAATTGGAATTTCCAACTTCTCTAGAAACATCTGATCTGCTAACCCAGCCCCCAAGGGGCTGGAGCCAGGTCCCAGCTGCCCCTTTAAACTGAGCTCTCCTGTTTGCCACAGTTCCCACCACCCCCTATTGTCACCGATTACTGACACCAAGGCTTGGTTACCATGTATCCTCAGGCTTTCACCATATTCTATGTTTAACGGGACAGAAAGATCTCTCTGCACCACATCAAAAGTGGAAAAGCAAAAGAGAAACCCAGGGCTTTGTCTAATGTTTCTAACACTTGGCTGGCTGCACTCATGATACCTGCCTGGTTCCTGCTGGCACTTACGTTTGAGAACTAATCTGATATTTGATCTGTGTCCTTTACTGCAATGTCCACATACGCTCCCCAACCCACACCCTTCAATCTTCACTCACAGGTGATCTGTGGTTGGCTCATACACACACATGCCTTTTGGGTATGAATGCTGGTTCTATCCGTTACTAGCTGGGTGGTCTTGGGCAAGTCACTTCACTTCTCTGTGACCCAGTTTCCTCATCTGTAAAGCGGGCATGACATTGTAGGTACCTTGTAGGAGTTTTATGAGGATTAAGTTGACATAGTTCATGCAAAGCATATAGACCTGTGCCCGGAACACAGCAAACAAGGCAAAGAAAATTTCAGGGGTGGGGGTGACAAGTGCTGTGATGATGACAGATCAAGGTGACCGGGGAAAACGCCACATTCATGACTTGTCGAGGAGGAGGGGGCATGTGAGCTGAGAGAGGAATGAGGCGGATCCAGCTAGAAACCAAGAGGAAGGATCAGTGTGTCAGGCAGAAGGAACAGCCAGTGTAAAGGTTCAGAGGCGAGAATGAGGTTGGCTTGCTGAAGGACCAGAAGGAGGAAGGCCAGTGTGGCTGGAGTACAGCGACTGAGGCGCAAACGTGAGCCTGAAAAGTAGGCAGGGGCCCTGTGGCCATGGGGAGGTGTTAATGCGGTGGGAGGAGTTTCTGCAGCCAAAGGAAGAATCTGATTGACAAAGGAACAAATGTCTGTGGCAGTAGGCCAGTCCAGCCCGAAGTCTCCACTTTGTTTCATAACCACTTTCACAACTAGCCTGACCCAATCTGGGCCCTCCTGGCCCTCGAAGCATTTAATCTCTCACCCCTACAACCAAGCAGGAAGTCTTGAGGTGGCCCTGAGCCAGGGCAGTGGCTGCGGAGGAGGAAGGGAGCAAGGGATGCAAAGCCACGCGGATGAAGGCTGCAAGCGACCCCGCAAAAGAGACCCACGTCAATCCCGGAACCTGTGAACGTGGCCTTATTTGGGAAAAGGCCCTTTGTAAGTGTGATTCAGGACCTCACGATGAGCTCATCCTGGATTATCCACAGGGGCCCTAAATCCAGTGACAAATGTCCTCATAAGAGAAAGGCAGGGGGAGACTTGAGACAGAGACACACAGAGAAGGCCATGGATGCGGAGGCTGAGACTGGAGTGATGTGGCCACAAGCTGAGGGACGCCAGAAGCTGCCAGAAGCTGGAGCAGACAAGGCGGGCCCCTCCCCCAGAGCCTTCAGAGCTGTGAGAGAATATAGTCCTGTTGTTTTAAGCCACCTGGTTTGTGGTCCTTCGTTCTGGAGGCCCCAGGAAAGAAATCCACCCTCCTCCCAAGGACCCCCAGCTCCCCAGAGAGGAGGTCCAATGTCTCCTTCCATCCTAGCAGCACATCCCCTTTCACAGCGGGGAACACGGAGGCCCAGGGAAAGGAAGCTCAGGGGGGAAGCCATTTACAGCTGGCTGAGTTTTCCTCCTGGCTGAATCTAGCTAACCTGTGTATTTTGTTGAGGTTTTGCAGCAACTAAAAATTACTACTTTTTTATATAATGAAATGGTGCAAGCATAGCAAAAGAGCCTAGATAACATAATATCCCACAACTTTCTTGTTCCCGACTTTTGTGGGTTCAGCCTGGGGCGGGGGGGGGGGGTCTTGGCTGTGTGGCGGAGGAGAAATCAGTGAACCTCTCTGAGCTTTGGATTCCTCAATGTTAAAATGGGGAGAAAGCTGGCTGTTGTGAGGATTAAACGAAAACGGACACTGAATCCCGGGTACCTCTCAGATTCCACCTGGAACCCTAGCCTGGGCCCGAGCACACGCTTGCTGTGGGACCCAGTTCTAAGGCTCCTACTGGCTTCTTCAGGGAGGGAGCCAGAGGGTCCTGCACAGATAAGATGCTCAAGGCAGGTCCAAGTCCCAGGTGGGAAGCAGGGGACCCAGCCGGCCACAGTCAGGGTCTTAGGCCTCAGTTTGTTCGGTAGGGAAATGGGTACATGGCTGACATTGAGCTGGCGTATGCATGTGCCTGGACAAGTAGTTAAAAATGCTGAAATACTTCTCTACCAGTCGGTAAAAAGCCACTGCCCCAGCCCCCTCCCCGGGACCCCAGACTTCCGCATGATCCAGTGAGGACAAAGAATCACACAGAGGTCTTCCTGGGTCCAGTCCTAAGTTTCTCTTCTGATCGAGCTGTTCTCCTGGGTACTATTTCTCAGCTCCATGGGCTGGAGTGGGCGTGGGGTGCCTGGTCCCTGATGGAAAAGAATAGGTGGCATTTGCTGGGTCTCTCGGCTTTCCGGGAAGGCACAGATGTCTCAGGGACTTAGAGGAGACAGGCCTCTATGGCCCAGCTCAAGCCCCGTGGAGACAGACAACGGATGTGAATGTCTGTGCTGGGGACATGGGGAGATCTCGGGGACATGAAGAGCACAGATGGGGGCTCCCAGACACTGGGGGGAGGGCCGAGACCACCCAAAGTCTCTCCGCAACTACCCCAGGCAGGGTCTGATGGGAAAACCTAACCAGAGGATGGGGTAGAGGGCCCAGGAAGAGGTCAGAGGTCAAGGGTCAGAGGTAGTACACTTTATTGACCGGGTTCTCCCAACATCTTGCAACCCCCCTGCAAAGCCAGCCCCTGGGCTTTGCCACCATCCCATCCACCGACTAGGGAAGAGAAAGCATCTCCCAAACATCCAAAGGGCCTCAGAACAGCAGGTGGCAGGGGTGGGTGTGGAGAAGGGGGCTGCCAGCCGGAAAGGGGGGCGTGGGGGTGAGGGGCTAAAGCTGGGTGCTGGGCCGGGGACACCCCGAGACTCCCCCAGTTAAGGTTCGTAGTGCTTCACAGTGAGACTGGCTTAGATTTGGCAGGACGGCAGAGGTGACGGGCAGACAGGCGCCTCTCCCTCTCCCAGCCCTCCCTGGGGCCTGACTCACAAAGCTGGGAAGGGGGAGGAAGAAAGTCCCCTTCCCGTGTCCTCCCTCAGGGACAGGGAAGCCCCTTCTCTCTAGGGGCAAAGGGTGGAGGCCAAGTTCTCCCCTGACCTCCCCCAGGCTATTAGGAAGGGTCATTCGCTCCTGGCTCGGAAGTTTCTAGAACATCTCAGTGACCTTGCCCATCATGATTCCCCATTAAAAAAAATGTTTTTGAAATCTAGGAGCTGACTGGGGCCCATCAAACCAAGCAGTAAAAACCCTGATAAGATCTTGATTTAAAAAGGTAGCCTGCCTTCGCTTAGACGCCTTGGGAGGTCAGATGGAGAGACAGGGGCTCCACAGCCCAGACTGGAGGGAGTGGCTCGTGGCAGCCGGGGGGCTGGTGGTGGCCCGGGAACGGAGTGGGGACCAGGGGCAAGATGCAGGAAGCGGTGACAGGTGGTTACATGGCAGGTCGCCTTCCAGGGCTGTGGGCCCAGGCTCCCAGGGCAGCCGGTAGGGGCTGCCCGCCATGGGTACATGTGCCAGGTGGCTGCCGGGGCCTCTGCCCCACCACGAGAGGCAGGGGCCGACCGTCAGGCCTTGTAACAGCCACTGCCCGACGGCTCGTTGTGGCCGGCCGCGCAGTCTGAGGTGGGCTCGAGCCCCAGCATCTGCCGCTGCACCAGCCGGGCGTAGAGGCCACCTTGGGCCAGCAGCTGCTGGTGTGTGCCCTGCTGGACCACGTGGCCCTTGTCCAGCACCACGATGAGGTGTGCCCGCTCCACCGTGCTCAGCCGGTGCGCGATGATGAGCACCGTGTGCTTCTGCAGGCTGCCGTGGATGGCCTGCTGGATCTGGGGAGACAGGGACCAGCTCACGGGTGCTGCCTCGGCCACCGCCCCGCCCCTGCCCCCGCCCCGTCCTCGCTCAGTGCCCAGCTCGCCCACCTCCTAGGGGAAGCGCCCTGCAAGTGACAGATGGGCCCTAGCCTGGTCGTCTTCCGCTCCATCCTCTAACCTTGGCCTTGGATGATGGTCACCCATCAGCCCCAAAGCTCAGGCCAGAAGAAAACCATCCCCCTCAATTCTTCACCTTTCCCTTAGGGCTTGACTCCGACTGGTGACAAACCCTGGAGGCCCTGTCACCCCGATTTATCTCGCTCTGTCCCATCTCTCCACCCTACCACCACGACCTCTCACCTGGATGCCTGTGACCTGCCTGCCCTGCCCCCTGTTCCTCTCTCCCCACAGATTTAAACACTTTTAATCAGTTCTCATCGAAGTCCTGCTCCAGGCCCCCCAATAGTTTCCGGTCCCACTTCGGATAAAATCCAAACCGCTGGGGGCGTTTCAGGGCCGTGAAACTAATCTTTGTCTAGGACGGTGGGTGCATGGCAGGCTGCGTTTGTCAAAAGCCGTAGGATGCACAACACAATCAGTCACCTCCAATGTCCACCAGGGACTCCAGTTAGTAATAAGACATTTGCACTGGTTCGTCAGTTGGAACGAACGCACCACACCAATGCAAGATGCTAACCATAGGGAAGGCTGTGGGCGGGGAGGGGACATATGGGAAGGCTCTGTACTCTCTGCTCAATGACCTAAAACTTCTCTAAAAAATAAAATGTATGAATTAAAAGGAAAAAGTCCAAAGCCCTGACTCGGGCCTGAGGAGCTTGCGTCTCCCTCTGACTCTGTCCTCGCTTCCCACTGTCCTTCGGGCTTGGCTGTGAACCTGCTCTGGGCCTCGTCACCCACGGGCCCTCTTCCGGGGACGCCCTTACCCCAGAACTCCCCACGGCTGCCCCGTTTCCTTTCGGGTCTCGGATCAAATGGAACCTGGGGACCCTGGTTCTACCAGTGAGGACTGCAGACTCTGGGCACACGTGACTCCATCCAAAGCCTGCACTCAGGTGGCCGCACTCCAGCAGGGCATCTATAGCATGCGGCCTCGTCTGCAGGAGGACCCCAGCCCCCCTAAATGCTCAAGAGAATAGACTGTCTGTTCTAACCAACACCTGATAGCAGGCCCCTGACCCTCCCCACCCCCCACCCCCAGGGCGTTTACTAAAAAGGGCTTATAACTGTAAATCCTTCCTCTGTCCCTCTGAGATACATGTATGAATCTCCTAAAACTCAGGAGGGTTCTTTCTCAAGGAGCTGAAAGCCACTCCTTTGCAATGTCATCATCAGGAAGAGGGGGCCTTGGTGTCTGGGTCTCTGTGGGAGTCCAGAATTCTGGACTCCCACAGAGACCCAGACACCTAACTTCAACAGCTGCCAGCAGCTGGCCCAGCTGGAGGAATCCATTCACACTGACCAAGCTTTGTAAGTTTTCCCTCGAGCCCGCTCTCTCCTCCTCCCCGCCCCCTCCCTTCTCCCTTTGAAATGCCCGTTCCCTCTGCACAGGCTGCCTGGAGCTCAGCTCTTTCCCTGCTATCAGTGGTTCCTGAATAAAATCTGTTTTTCCAGCTTTAACTAATGTCCGGCTGTGTTTCTCTTTGACGAGGGTGACCCCTCTCCATCTCCCTGTCACATGACTGTTTCATTTTCAACGGAGGAGGGGCCACTGGTTGAACGCATGCTTGTGTCCTTGTTTGGTATCTGTCTTCCCCCTGAAATGGAAGCGCCTTGGGGGCAGAGGTCTTTGTGGGGCTGGTCAGCCCGCCCTTGCAACCCCAGCGCCGGGAACAGGGCCTGGTACCCGAAAGGAGCAAGGCAAACACTGGCGTCATGAATGAATTGATCCGTGGAGAGGCTGAGGGACAGATACTTGACCAGACCCTCTTTACCAGTGAGAGGGAGACTCAGAGAGGGGAAGGGACTGGCTCAAGGTATGAGCTGCAAGACAGAGCTTCTAAGCCACGTCTCCTGACTCTAACCCTGTATCGTATAATTTCAGCTCTGCTGAGAGCCAGGAAGTGGGGCCCGGGGTGCCCAGACCCTCTCCCCTAGCTCCCTGCTCTCAATCCTGGCACACCGCAGTCTAGGAAGCTGAGAGTCTGGGAGGGCCCCGTGGCCATTCCCGAGCCCTTCCCAGGCCTGTCTGCTAAGCGGAGGGGCTCTGGCCCCTCCAGACCTGCTCCCTACTCCAGCATCACCCGCCATCCGCAACTCACCAGGTACTCGCTCTCTGCGTCCAGAGCACTGGTGGCTTCATCCAGGATGAGGACAGGTGGGTTCCGTACCAGAGCCCGGGCCATGGCCACCCGCTGCTTCTGGCCGCCTGACAGCTGGGCGCCCTTCTCCCCTGTCTCTGAGTGGCAGAGGCACAGGGACAAGTGAGTGAGGGGTGCAGCTGGGGCAGCCCTAGGGATGAGCGAGAAGCCCCCTTCCTCCACCTTTCCCTGCTGCAATGGGAGTGGTGCTCTCCAGGAAAAGTGTGGTTAAAGGGGCCATTGGCGGGGACAACCGGCAGTTTGGAAATTCATGAAAGGATGCTCTCCCTTCCTGTTCAGAAGAGGCACGCAGATCACGACTCCACGCAATGGGTACCAAGGTACCAATTTTAACCCATTGATTTGGCAAAAATCCAAACGTTTGATGATACACTGTGCTGGTGTGGCTGTGGGGAAATCTTCCTGGGGCACGCGCTGTTGGGGTGATCCCTACAGCCCCCAATCTGTAGGGGTGCAGCACATACACCTCTGTGTCTGTTGGCTTGGACTGTGCAAGTCTATGGATTTCAATTACAAATGCCCAACCCTTGTGCCAGCAAATCCACCTCTGTCAATTTTCCCTACGGGTCAACTTTCCCATGCACAGTGACGCAGGCACACGTTGTGTGTGACTCACAGCACAATTATTGCAAAATAATAATAATAATAATAACAAAGATAAAAAACCTACTCAAATGTCCATCCATAGGCAACTGAATAAAAACTGAAAAAAAAAGCCCATACACTGGAATACTATGCAGCTGTTAAAAAGGAACACAAAACCCAAAGTAAGTAGAAGGAAGGAAATAATAAAGATCAGGGCAGAAATAAATAAAATAGAGACTAAAATAGCAATAGAAAAGATCAATGACACTAAGAGCTGGTTCTTTGAAAAGATAAACAAAATCGATAAACTTTTAGCCAGACTCATAAAGAAAAAATACAGAGCGTACCCAAATAAAAAGAGGAGCTACTAATGACACCACAGCAATATAAAGGATCATTAAAGAATACAATTAATATGATAACAAATGAAACAACCTAGAAGAAATAGATAAATTTCTAGAAATATACAAACTTCCAAGACTGAAACAGGCAGAAACCAAAAATCTGAGCAGACAGATTACTAGCAATGAAATTGAAGCAGTAATCAAAAAACTCCCAACAAACTGAAGCCCAGGACCAGATGGATTCACAGGTGAATTCCACCAAACATTTCAAGAAAAATTAACACGGGTCCTTCTCAAACAATTCCAAAACATTGAAGCAGAAAGAACGCTTTCAAACTCATTCTACGAAGCCAGCCATCACCCTGATACCCAATCCAGACAAAGACACTACAAAAAAAAAGAAAATTACAGGCCAATATTCCTGATGAGCATACATGCAAAAATTCTCAACAAAATATTTGCAAACCGGATTCAACACAACATTACAAGGGTTATACACCAGGACCAGGTGGGATTTATCCCAGGGATGCAGGGATGTTTCAATATCCACAGATCATTCTATGTGACATACCACAACAAAACCCAAGATAAAAATCATATGATCATCTCAACAGAGGCAGAAAAAGCATTTGACCAAAAAGAACAAGGCAGCTCTTTAGGCACCAATGTACAAATCACGAAGATATTGTGTTAAGTTTAAAAAGTCAGGTGCAGAATTTAAGGTGCTGTTTTGTTTCTGTAAAAGGGTGGCATATGTTTATATTTGCATAAAGAATCTTTAAAAGGACATGTAAGAAATGAAGAAAAAAAGTTTTGATGGGGGCAGGAGGAAACGGGGGAGTGTCATAAAGGGATGGAATAAAAATATGTCAGTTTATGTATTTTTTAGTTTTAAACCATGTGAATAGCCCCTTTTCACGGGTTAACGTTTTTACATGTATCAAATATAATAAAATACATAAATTACTATGTTGTTACATTTATCAAATTAAAGTATTAATTTGTTAATCTAAAATTAAGTAACTGTAATTAAGAAAATACATATATATTCTTTTTAAATCATAATGTTTGGGAACTAAGTAGAGGTGGTGTCGTGGGTGTACTCAAGGCCACTAAATTGTTCACTAGGAAACGGTTATGTTTACGTCACGTGAATTTCACCTTGAAATAATAAAGGGCAGCAGGCAGAGGGCAATGCACAACTCAGAGGGTCGCATCCCTGAGGGTGCAGCTCCAGGCACGGTGGAGGTGACGTGCCTGGGCTCGGTACCTGTATTGTAGCCGTCCTGGAGCTCCATGATGAAGCTGTGGGCGTTTGCCTTCTGCGCAGCCTCCACCACCATCTCGAAGGGCATGGTGGGCAGGCCGTAGGAGATGTTGTCTGTGATAGAGCGGGCGAACAGCACTGGCTCCTGGCTCACCAGGGAGATCTGCGGAGGAGGAGGAGGGATGGGGCATGAGAGGCCAGGGACACGTCCAGCCAGCTGTCACCAGGAACCTGGCCAGCCCCGGGCCAGGCTGACGCCAGGGGTCTCGGGTCTGAAATCTGATCAGGGCCTGCGCCTGGCTGCTGCGTGCAGCTGCCTGTCTTCCTTACAATCAAGTGAGTCCACTTTCTGCACAAGCCATCGGCCTCCCTGGACCAACAGACTGGGCCCGCTAAACTTGCTGCCCTGGGCTAAGCCAGGTTCCCTGACCTCCGAGAGAGCTCCCTCTCTGCCCTGTCCTGGACATAAAAAGAGAGGGAGAAAGAGAAGGTAGCATGCACCTCTGTGAGTGAGTCTGTCCGTGTCGGGAAGCAAGAGGCCGCAGCAGGCCCCAGACCACAAGACCTCCCTCCCCTCTAAGAGAACATTTAAGGGAGCTGTTGTCCCACGGTCCCAGTTTTAGGAATTTGGCCTACAAAAATGGTATTATGGAGGATGGCATTGCAACATTGTAAATAGCAAAAAGAAAATTAAAAAAAGAAAGAAAAGAAATAACCTAGTTGCCCATAAATTGGGGATTGGTTAAATAATTACAGTACATTCATAAAATCAAATTCACACACACACACGCACACACATGCACAGCATGATTCTATTTTTGTTTAAAAAACTATATATGTGCCTTTATATGTCGATAATATTTATATAAAGAAACAAGCGTAAAGAGATATTTACTAAACTGCTAACACTGCTCACCTTCATTGGGTGGAATTCAAAAGGTGAGGTGGAGGGGAACTCTCCTTGTCTTAATTATAAAGTTTTCTGAATATATGGGAACATGGTTACACTGTTGCATTTTATTGTTTTGAAAACTAAAATTTTCAAAACTTGGGGGTCACACACCTGAGACCACTTCTCAGCCATCTACCCCTGGTTATACGGGTGGGCAGGTTTTACACTCTGTAGCCTTCTGTCACCATCTAGCATTTGCCTGGGAGTTCTGGAATCTCTGTGCCAACCCTCAGGCTTGCTCATAATGTAATGTATGTTGATGATGTAAATGATGCCCCCTAAACAGTTGGTGTTTCTTGTGCAGTGTACAACCTGAACAACCATCCAAGGCATCCCTGTTCTTACGCTAGCACAGGATCAGGTGTTGAGGCTCCTTTTCTGAAAGAATTACCCCAAACTGTACGGTCCTTTAAGTGCTGGGGTTGACTTAGCTGTGGACCTGCTGGAGCGCTCACCTACTGCTAGTGGAATGTAAAGTGGTACGACCATCCTGGTGGCAGAAACGGCTGTGTGGCAGTCACTACTAAAGTTGGGGCTATGCATCCACTCTGGGGGAGCATACCTGCGTGCACCAGAAAACACCGACAACATTGTCCGTATCAGTATTATTGGTAATAATAAAAACCAGGAAAACAGCCCAAATGTCCATTAAGGGCAGAATGCGGAACCAGGCCGTGACGTGTTTACACAGTGGATTATCATCTAGCAACAAAAATGAATGAACGGCAGCCACAGCCTCCACCTGGATGACTCGCAAACAGTGCTGAGTGGAAGAAGCAAGACACAGATGGCTACCCGCATTACGACTCCCGCTAGAAGTTCACCACTAGGCAAAACACAGCTGTGCCCTGTGGGGAGGGAGGCACACAGAGACAGTGAGATGAAAGGAAAGCATGAGCATGAAAGCCGGGCAAGAGGTTGCTTCTGGGGGGACTTCTGGAGCGCTGGAATGTTCTAACTCTTGACCTGGGTGGTGTTACACTGGTGATAATTCTCGGAACCGTACGTGTATTTTAGGCTGTTCTCTGCCACAGCTCACAAGAGAAAAGTTTAGACAATAAAAGGGCGGACGAGGGCAGCAAAGGCTCACCACATACCACTCGGTGCAGGAACTTGTGGTCATAGGCACTGATGGGCTTCCCGTCCAGGAGCACGCGGCCCCCCTCCAGGGGGTAGAAGTTCTCCAGGATGTTGACACAGGAACTCTTCCCACTGCCCGAAGGCCCCACGAGCGCCGTCACTTTTCCTGGGGACAGGCTGAAGGAGACGTTCTGCAGGGAACACGCAGACATGGACGGTGTGGAGCCACAGACGTAGGTGGGCACCCGTCCCAGCCCACCCCATGCCCCTCTGCCATGGTTGGGTACTGCTGGCTCCCGAAACGCTCTCCTTTCTAGGATCCGGCAGTAGTTTTATACTTGTTTCCTCTGCCTGGAATGTTCTTTCTGCAGAGAGCCACCTGATTGGCTCCTGCTTCTTGTTCAGGTCTTAGCTCAAATGTCGCCTCCTCTGAGAAGGCCTCCTTGACTGTTACATCACCCCTCTCACTCCAGCCTTCTGTTAGTAATCTGTCTTCCCGACCGGAACCCAGACTCCATGAAAACAGGATTCTGCCTTACGTGTTCCCGGTGACACAGCCATGGCCTGGCATGTGGGAGGTGCGACAGGTGGCATGAGGGAAAGGGTGACTGGGCAGGCCTTGAGCCCCCTCACCTGCAGGACCTTGGTGTGGGGCCTAGTGCGGTAGGTGAAGGTCACATTCTCAAAGTCCACGCGGCCCTCCAGGTGGTCAGGGGCCAGTTTCCCATCATGCACCATGGTTGGCTGTCGGTCAATGAACTCAAACACCTTTTCAGCTGCCCCGACTCCTTGCATCAGGCCGCTATAGACAGAGCCCACGGACTGCGAGGGGAGAAGACACACGTTGCTGTCCCACCAACACCCCACTCCTGGGAGGTGAAGGGGGTGTGGAGAGAGCAAGGACACAGCAGCAGTTCTGGGAGAAGGGAGCGGAGGGGGGGAGGCAGCTGGGGCCCCACCTGCTAGTACAGCAATTAATGACAATAATAAAAAAATGAGGACAGCAGTCATAAATACTGATAATGTTAGCAGCCAGTACCTCACCATCATCATAGCTAAATCTCAGAACTACCCAGCGGAGTGTGTGTGATCAGCCCCCAGACGAGGAAACGGAAGCGCAGAGAAGTTAAATGAACCAGCCGGAATGCGGCAGAGCAGGAACGGGGCCTTCCTCTTTCAGTTGCCAGAGCATTTCTCAAATTTCAGTTTAAAAAAAATAGGTCTTAATGTATACTATGCATTCCCTTGGGTAAAAGCAATATACACAATATAAATGTGACTAATATGGACGACTCATTTTATTGAGCACTTTGTATATGTTACGACGTAGGTTCTATCATGATCTCCTTTTTACTGGCGAGGAGACTGAGGCCCAGAGGGCTCAAGTAACTTCCCCCAGGTCACACAGCCAGGGAATGGCATAGCCAGGACTTGAACTCGGGCTCCCAAGTTCAGCCCCGTAGGTGCTGTGACTGAGGGTCCTGGTGGGTGACACGGGGGTAATACTAGTACCGGTGTCGTGGTTCTGTGAAGACCGCGCTCGGCATGAAGTGAGCCCTTGACACATCACAGCTCCGACCATTACCCTGCTATTATTAGTAAGTACCAGGCTGTGTAAAAGTCACCCTTCACAGTCCCTCATCCCAGAGGTGACCACGGCTCCCTCTGTATCTCCCCAGTTCCTTCTCTGTGTGTTTACAAACACACACATGTCTATAATTACTTTTGAGATTTAAAAACTACACATGGGGTCAGACTATCCCTCCTGCCTGGGGATTTGCTTCATTCCACCAAACAGCGTCTTAAGGTTCTTTCCACACCCTGGCTCCCTCATCGCTGTAGCTGCTGCCTGGTCTGTACGGGACACATACTGTCCCCGGAATACAGATGTACTGCGATTACCCAGGCCCTGGCCCTTGGGCACGTAGGGTGGTTATCACCTTTCCCCGTCATAAACGATGACGCCCTGACAGTCCTGAGACACACATTTCTGCCCGCTGGTGTGAGAATTTCTGAAGCATGGATTCCTGGAGGCAGATTGCTGAGTCAGATGACACTGCAGGTGTGACTCGTCGATGCAAAGTGCCATCTGTGGCAGATGTTAATACCCCTCCCCCGCAATCCTTGAGCTTTTTCACTATTAGTCCACAGAGGCCCAACCTCAATGTCTGAGGGCCTTGGGGATGGGAAGCAGAGAACGATGCCCCCCCACTCCAAGCATCCTCATGCCATGACTGATAAACGCCCCAGCTCCCTGTCTCAGGATCTGCTGGTGGGGGAACAACCCTCGTCTTTTCCGTGGCACTGCGCTTTAAAGTGGGTTAAAATAAAGTCAGACCCATCTGCCTTTGAACCCACGTCCCCCACACATGTGGGGGGAGTTGCTTAATCTCTCTGAGCTTCAGCGTCCTCTACTGAGAAAGGGGAACGGGAAAAGCACTGAGACCTCTCACGGCGCTCTTAGGTGTGTTTTCTGAAATAGTCTTTGTTGCTGCCCCTTGTTAGTGTTGTTCTCATTATTGGTATTATGGTGTTTTCTCCCTTTCCGGCTTTAGAAAGATCCTTTGGACCTTGGAGCACCCTGTTCAGATCTCTCTTCCCCACACTCCCCGCTCCTTCTCCCCAGGACCCCCTCTCCAAGCCAGCCCCTCACCTCCATACAATCTCCCAGGACAAACTCGTAGATAATGAAGGAGATGAGGTTGCCGCTGGTCATCTGTCCGGAGATGACGAGGTGGCCCCCGTAGTAGAGGATACTGACCTGGACCACCAGCAGCGTGAGCTGGGGGCAGAGGAAAGGGGGCATTTGGGTCACAGAGGCCTTGGCTCAGATCCTCCCCCGCGCCCCCACCTCAGGGGAAGGGGAGAGTGGCTGTGAGCTCTGGACTCTCAGCCATAAACCGAAACAGCCAATGGCAGTGGTGCCTGCCCCCCCCCCACACACACATGCTGATGCCCGTCTGTCACCCATGCCTTCCTCCTTCCCACTGTGGCGTTTTCCCCTGCCAAGGCCCCCAGCTGGAGCGGGCCACGGGCCTGGCTGAGAACAAGGCTTTCTTTGTAAGGGCCTGGCACACACATCAGCCCCCAAGCCCTCAGCTTGGCCAAGCGGGAGCTATTAGTCCTCGTCTATACAGGGAAGAGCACGGTTCAGAGAGGTTGAGTCCACTGGCTAAGGTCACACAGTGAGCCAGGGTGGTGAAGTCTGTGCTTCTCACCCCACCGGGGTCCATAAAGGAGGGGCTGTGTCCAGGCACCCTTGTCTCCCTCCCACTCCAGTGCCTGGGGGAGTGTTTGGGGGAGGGGTGGGACACCCAGGGTCCCAGTGTGTCCCTCCCCACACCAGCTAAGTGCAAAAGGCACAGCTGCTGCTGGATAGATTGTGGAGAGGCTTGGCTAACTGAGCTGGATTTGGGGCTCCTTCTCCTCCCTGGCCGGACACTTTTGAGGGGTGGCCCACATAGTTCCTGCCCCCTGGTTACCCTTAGACCACCAGCTCCTTCTCCCCGCTAAACTCCAAACCCCCGTGTTTCCTAGCCCAGCGACTCCCCGATGAGCCCACCTCCCAGGTGTGGCCAAGCACCTCCCTCTTCTCCAGGGAGGGGCTGTGACTCACGCCCCCCCCCCTCCCCCCGAGTGTGGTGGTGACATAGGACCTGCCGGAACGTGACATAGGACCTGCCGGAACGTGGCCCAGGTTGGGTCCCCGCTGGCCTTGGGGCGGCTCCCCACCTTGGCAGGATGCTTCCCCAGCTGATAAGAGAGCTCCTATCCTGAGGAGGCCCCAGGGAAAGAGGGGGTCCCTATGAGGAAATACATCGGGAGGCTTCTCCGAGGACAGGGGACAGTCAGGTGCAACCAGCCTGACGCCCACATGCAGGGACCCCCATTCTCCGCGTCCCATCCCCCCACGGTCGGACCTGCCCGGGGCTGGGGGCACGTACCCCGCTGCCCCAGACGTAGTACATGTAGGCGGCCGCCTCCTTCCTGTTCAGCTTGTACACCTGCTGCAGCTTCCGCGAGTACACTTCTGCCTCCTCCTCCTCGTTGGCGAAGCTCCGGACAGTCTTCATGGCGCTGATGGTCTCCTCGGCTGTGGTGCTGGCTCTGGCCAGGGCGCTTTGGACCTCTTTGGAGAGTCTCTATGGGCAGGAGCGGGTACAAGATGGAGGCGACCCCAAAACAGACAGTCTCACTAATCACCTGAGCCGCAGGCCTCTCTGGGCTTTTCTACCCTTAGATGGTGCCAGCTCTGTGCGGGGCGTTCCGGAGACAAAAGGGGAAGACCTCGCTCCCCGTCCTTCCCCACCTCCTTTTAGCTTGATTTGATGGACTCAGAGAACAGACTCCAGCTGGGTTCTTGGGGTGAGACCCCAAGCTTCCAGCTCCTGAGGGCTGGGGGGCTGAAGGCTGAGGGCTGGGGAGCTGATCATTAAGTCATTGCCAGTAGACAGAGGAGGTTGTTCATGACCATACAGATTTGGGTAATCCTTTCAGAAAAGGAACCTCCACACCAGATCCTGTGTGGGCATAAGTACAGGGATGCCCTGGGTGGTTGTTCAGGTTGCACACTGCACAAGGAACACCAACTATTTAGGGGGTGCCACTTACATCATCAACATACATTACATTATGTGAGCGTCTGAGGGTTGGCACAGAACTCCTAGCCAAATTCTCGATGGTGGCAGAAGGTACGGGCTATTAAATCTGCCCACATCACGTGCATATAATTGGGGATAGATAGATGGCTGAGAAGTGATTCCGAATGTATGACCCCCAGGCTGCTGCCCACCAGAGCTCTGGAAGTGGTCCCTGGGCAGTGCTGGTCAGGCTTTGCAATAGTCGCCATCCTCAGATTTGCAAACCAGCCAGGAAGGCTGCCCAGGAGGCCAGGCCAGGGTCACACACGGGCACGTGCCATGACCTGTGAGTCACAGCCAGCTGTCGGAAGCATGCAGTGTGTGCAGGCACCCGGGGCAGCCAGGCTGGCACCCAGAGTCGTGTCTGGCCGTGGGCAGTGTGTGACTTGTGACGATGACTTGGTGGCAATATTCAACATATGCAGGGATGGGTAGAAGGCCTGAACAGAGCTTCCTTGAGGGCCTGGCTGACTGAGCTTGCGGCTGGACCTGAGGTGTGCAGAGGTGGGGCTGATGGGGGAGGCCCAGGGTTTCCTGCCCAGTCCCAGGGGCTGGCAGGAAGGCAGGAAGGGCGGGGTGGGGAGCACAGGAAGGGAACTGGCTCCAACTCCGACTCATATGTTTACTTTTTTAACTCAGGGAGGAAAACAGTGAGGCCCGTGACCCAGAGCTGCAGGGGAGAGGGCCCTCCTGGGTGGTGGGCACTGCCAGAAGGCCACATGGGTTGTGGGGAATGGATTCATTTTGGGATTGGCCTCAGGTCACTGGCACCAAGGGTTCCTACTGAGCTGGGGACACTCAGCCCATGGCATGTCAAAACCCCCTGCTCGGGCGTAACCCTGCCCCTCCACCCCCGGCCCCGCGGCCTGGATCCCTGGGGAAGGGGCCGTCTGCAGCTGTCTGAATCCAGCCTTGGTCCCTTAGGGATCGGGGGCAGCGACCAACGTGGCAAGCAGGAGGAAGGCGAGGCAGGGGCCTAGTTCACAGGCCCACCTTCCTGGCAGAGGCAGTGCCAAGGGGCGGCCTGCCCATAACCGCTCACGGGGCCAGAGCCACTCCCACGTCAACACCGCTCTACAGAAAGAGACCAAAGTTGGCACTCAGAGTGAAAACCAAAGTCCTCACAAAGGCCTACGTGGTCTGGCCCCTGTCACCTCCCTGCCCTCATGTCCCGTCCTCTCCCCTCACTCATTGCTCCAGCCTCACTGGTCTCCCTGAGGCTCCTCAAACACACCCGGGACGTTCTCACCCCGGGGCCTTTGCACGGGCTGTACCCTCTGCTTGGGGGGTGCTTCCCCAAGACGTCCAACACTGTACTCGAATGTCTCCTTCTCAGAAACACCAACGGAAAATTGCAGCCACCCCCAATCTCTCTCTTCCTCGCTTCCTTTTTCTCCTTAGCACGTACCGTCTTTTACCCCATTATATATTAAAACCGCTACCGTCTGTCTCTCCCACTAGAGCATAAACTCCCTGAGAGAAGGGGCCCTTATCTGGTTCACTAGATGTATCCTGGTGCCTGGGAGACCCTGGGTGCTCACTAGATACTGACTGACTGAGTGAATGAGCACATGAACTAACGCAAACACAGCCCCCGCTAGCTGCCAGCGGCCACGGGGTCCCTTCCCCTCCACCCGGGAGTTGCCCGCGCTCCCAGGGCCCAGCAGAGACAGGTGGGCCTACCTTGTAGTACTTGCCATAAATGTCAGACACCATCATGATGATGGGGAAGCCCATGAAGGTGACCAAGGAGAGCTGCCACGACAGGCTGAACATGAAGACCACCACGCCCGTGACCTTGACCGTGTTCCGCAAGAAGATGTTGATATTCTGGGAGACCAGGTCGCTGACCATGGTGGTGTCCGAGGTGAGGCGGGAGATGAGGTCTCCTGGAACACAGGCAGCTCAGCTCCCACTGCGGCAACGGGGCCACTGCAGGTGGGGGCAGGGGACACTGAGGGGTTGCAGGGAAGCTCAGGACTCCCCACCTTCTGGGGGTGGGGGGGTGGGAGGGGAGAAAAGCAGATGTCCCCTTGTCACCAGCATCTTGTGACATTACATTCCACAGCCCAGAGGTGGCGGCTGAGGCTCAGAAAGGGGAAGATGCTCGCTCAGCGCCAGCGGCTTGTCCATGACTGAGCCGGAGCCCAACCGGGCAGAGAGGGTCACTCCCCCTTCCCGCCTATGGAAATAACAGTCTGGGCTGGGGGAACAGAAAGGAGCCGAGCCCCGTTTACCAAGTGCTGGACATCGGGCCAGAGCTTTGCAACCCCCGATGTTGGCGTCTACCATGGTTCCCGTTTTAGAATGAGAAAACAGGCTCCATGAGGTTAAGTGAGTGGGTGGGGGGACCACGGCCTACACCTGGCGGGTCCGTTTCAGAGCCTGGGATCTTGGCTGGATCGTACGGCCTTCCCTGCTCTGCCCTGTACTCCCCATGTGGCTCCCCCCCATAGGAGCTGAGCCCCTCAGGCCACAGGCTTGGGGACCCCTGGCCTCTGTGGCTCCAGAGGGCAGTGGGAAGCGAGACCCTGGCTCCAAAAGGACCTTGGGCGGCCTGGCCAGGGTCCCACAGTGGCCACAGTTCACACCAAAACCTCAGCCAGCAGGGCAGCTCCCCAGCGCTCAGGCGGGCTCAGAGGCCCAAGCCAGCCTCCTGGGGTAATTGCAGCCTGAATGGGATGGTGGGAAGAGCCAGCTGGGCTGAGACCATGGATGTACCCATTTATTTTCTCAGCTTGAGACAAGCCCACCCTGGCGGGGCCCAGCCCCAGGTCACCCGAGGCCCCGGGAAGACCAACCTGTGCGATTCTCGTCAAAGAAGCTCGTCTCCTGCGACACCAGTGAGCGGAAGAGACGGTTTCGAAGGCGGATGTTCAGTCTGGCAAATATGAGGGTAAAAATGCCGCCCCGAATACCTGCGGCAAACGAGCTAATTGCAGATAAGAGATGTTATATATAGCACAACGTCCTTCCGACAACCAGCAGCCTCACCGGGCTGCTCCCTCCCGCCGCTGGGAGGCGTGCGCCCCTCGCAGGGCGGAGGCAGGGCAGGACCCCAGCCTCCAGCTCACTGCCCGGGGCTCGTGCCCAGCTGGAACCCCCAAGGGGAGGACAAACAGGGGGCTGTGCTTCCTGAGGCTGAGGGCCCCAACTTTGCCAGCCAGACCCCTCTCCCTTCCGGAACCAGCAGACAAGGCTGGCCCTCGTTCCCCACTTGGAAGACAACCCGGGGTGGTGAACAAGGACCCTGGAGGACTGAAGCCATTTTTAGGAACAAGAGGGAGTGGCTCTAGGGTTGGCTCAGCTCAATGGACGTCGGTTCTGAGCCCTTCGGTTGTTGAGGACCACGGTAACCAGCTGAGGGACAGGCCTCCCCAGGGGCATTTCTTGGGGCTCCCTAGCCTGTTTTCCCCTTAGGAGCTGGCCCTGACCTCCCTCCCCTGCTGTAGGCCTTGGGGGGGGGGACAGGGCTGGGGGTCAAGAGCAGGCTACCTGCCAATGGCCAGCAGGCACATGACAACGACGGCCGTGGTGAACTGCTCCATGCTCTTCTGGATGACAATGCCATCGATGGCCCGGCCGGTGTAGTAGGGGAGGAAGGTCTCTCCTGCCGGGAGACAGGGCGCGCTCAGGGGGCGTCTGCAGCCAGGGGGCCCGTGCCCTTCCTCTAGAGCCCCAGGAAGCCCCCCCCACCTTGCCTGCTCTGCTCACCCCATAGGGGGTTCTCTCTCTTGGCAAATTTCTCTTCTCACTATGGTGGGAGGTGGGGTAGGGGCCCCGTATTGCTGATCGCTCCCCGCTTTTCAGAGAAGAGGGACCCAGGAAGCGTGGGGTCTGCCATCTGCACAGGCTGGGTCAGTATTAATAAGGCTACCAGACGCTGAGTGGCCCGGGAGATATCTCATTCCCTCCACGCAGACTCTGAAGTTGGTCTTGTCATCACCCGATTTTACAGATAACGAAGGGAAGCTGAAAAGGTGAGATGACGCTAGCCCGGGCTGAAGTTTACTTTCTTCTCCTTGGTAGAGGGGTCAGAGTTCACATTCTAGAACCTCAGAAGTTGTTGATATTTTGGTTCCGAGCAATGCTAGGAATTGCCACCCCGCCCTTCTTGGTGGTGCACTTTACAGTTTGCTGGATTATATCCTACCCATTTGTCTTATTGTATCTTCACAACAATCCTGGGCGGGGGGGTGAGGAGAGGGGATGTCACCCCCATGTCACAGGGGTGGAATGGAAGACTCAGAGAGGTTGAGTAATTTGCCAGGGGACACACAGCAATTAAGATGAAGGGCCAGGGCTCAAATCCAAACCGGCTTCCACTTTGGGGCTCTTTCCTTGTCCCTTCCCTTCCAATAACCTGGAATGCCCACTCTCATCTTACGGACACGATGGACATGGAGTGGCATGTGGTCAGACCAGGCTGTGTTCCATTTTCACTGCAGCTCTTTCCACAGGACACAGCCTGGCTGGGGGCTGGGCATAGAGTAGGCGCTGAATAAAGGTCACTGAATGAACCCTGGGCCTCTCTACGTGATGGCTCAGGCAGGACAGTGAGGCCTTCCGTGGGGTTCTGGCGCCCTCTGCTGGTCTTGGCACAGAGGCCACAAGGTCTAGAGGGCGTTGGTCCTCACGGCTCAAGGCGAGACGGGAGTCTCCAACCACCACTGTGGAGTGCCACTGGAGCTGACGTTCTGCTTCGGTTTACCCACAGGGGAGAAAAGGGCGTCAGCGAGCTTCAGCAGCATTGTGACCCCGGCAAGCACCAATGAACGACAATGACAACCACCATGAGAGGCATTCACCGAGCCCTTCCTGGGTGCGGGCGCTGTGCTAAGCACGTGTGGAAACCCTCCTGTCGGATCTATACGAGAACCGTGTGAAACTCCCCGATGCATCAGCAAATCCTGCGGCTCCACCTTCAAAATATTTGCAGAATCCAAGCACTTTCACGGCCTCTGCTGCCCCGCCCGGGTCCACGCTGTGGGTCTTGCTTAGACTATCTCTAGTAACACCTCCTGGCGCTCCTGCTCCCACCCTTGTATACCTATCAGCCTTTTCACTCAGTCGACAGCAGGTGCCTGTGAAACTCAAATCAGATCTTGTTGTCCCTCAGCTCAAAACAGCCCAATGGCTCCCTTCTCTTCAGGGTAACAGTCAGCGTCCTTACAGTGGCCACGGCGCCCTGCACAGTCGGGCCGCTGCGACGGACCTGACTTCCTCTTCTACTCTCTCCCCTGGCACGAACTCTGCTCCAGCTGGGCTGGCCTCTGCTATTCCTTTAACAACCGGACACCTTCCTGCCTCAGGACCTTTGTATGGGCTGTTCCCTCTGCCTAGAGCACTGTGAGCCTAGGTATCAGCTCCCTCACCTCTAACGCCTCCCAATAACCCTATAGGTAAGGTATTATAATTATTATTTCTATTTACAGATGAGGAAACTGAGGCTCAGAGTAGTTAGGTCCCTTGCCCACGTATAGGTAGTTGGGATGCCATGAAATCCATATTATAGATCTCGGAGGAAGGCCCAAGATATGGTGGAATAGGTAAACGCTATGCCTGCCGCCTCCCATAGTCAAATTAAAGTTACAGCTAAATTACAGAACAATCAACCTCGAGAATCATGTGAAGGTTAGCTGAACAGAACCCCCTATAACTTACGGATTTAAAGAAGAGGCCACATCGAGGCTGCCCTTAAAAAAAAACACAAAAAAAAACCCCAAGAATCCCAATTTCATAGGAGATACTCAACGCTAAAACTACCCTTTTTTCCCAATGGACGTTTTTTCTTTCAGATGATGAGGTGTCAGAAAAAGCTGGGCCCTTCTGGATGTTTGTTGACTGAAAAATAATGATTAATAACCACAGTACCTAAATTATAAAGGGCTCACTCTTGTCGGGCACCGCATTTCATCTTATCGAATTCTCACAATAACCTGACGAAGCCCCCGTTTCAGGATGAGACGCTGAAGCTTGGCAGGTTACGTACACTCGCCTGAAGTTACCCATGAGGCTGGGGGCCTGATCGCAGGTTAGCGCCCTTGACCTCCACCCATCTTGCAGGGGGCAAATCTTCTCAGCTGTATTTTAGGACACGTGCACACACCACCTGACAACAGGGCCCGGCAGGCGGGGGAAAACGAGGTCGTCGGGTGACATCTGCCCACACAGGCAGGATGGTCATTTGTTCGTTTATTCATTCAGCAGGACTCCTCTGTGCCAGGTATCCTCTGTATCAGGGGGCCCAGGGAGAGTCAGACTTGTCCCTGCACCCTCGAGGGGCTCAGAGCCTGGTAGGGGAGGCAGAAGCGTGGACGCATGATTTTCATGTCCCCAACGCTGTAACTGAGGTGCAGACAGAGGGCCACAGTCAGTGAAATCTGAGAGGGCTTCTCCAAGGAGGGGACATTTGGGCCTTGAAGCATGAGTAGCGGAAATGATCTGGATAAACGGAAAGGGCTGTCCCAGCAGTCACAGCTGCTAATATTCACTGGGGGCTTTCCAAGTGCCAGGAGCTGGCCAAGGTGTCTCACCCGTATTAACTCACAAACCCCAGGGTGATGAGTACTATTACAGTTCCATTTTACAGGTGAGGAGTCTGAGACAGAGAGGTTAAGTAACTGGTCTAAAGTCACACAGCAGTTAATGGACCGGGTCTGAGACAGAGAGGTTAAGTAACTGGTCTAAAATCACACCGCAGTTAATGGACTGGGACCAAGAGGGTGGAGGGTGGATAGCGAGGGGAAGGGGGCTGCAGAATTGGGGCCAGCTCTGGGGTTTGCCTGTCCTCTTTAAGAACACTCTGGCTTTGTGGCCACTCCCAGGCTCTGTCCCTAAGAGTTACACATCTAACAACTCCTGACAGCCAACATTTCTGAGCACTTACCATGCTGTACCAAGCTCTGGACTTGGTCTTCTCCTGTTGTATTCAAGCTTTACAACATTGTGACAATAAGGACACTAACAATCCCCACTGCATAGGAGAAGGAAGTGAGGCTCTGAAACGCTCAAGAACTTGCCCACGACGACGCAGCTAGGGAAGGAACAGGGCTGGGACTGTACCCTGGCCTCGTCACCCACAGAACCCACGGAGTCTCCACCCTGCACTGTCGCCTTCCCACCCACGTTGCTGGAGGGGTGCTTTCGAACTGTGTGGAACCAGACCCACAGTAACCAATACGTTTAGACATGTACACACAGGCACGCATAACTGAAATGTAAGTTTCTGAAACAATACTTAATCTTACTACAATAGTTAATCTTACTACAGACACCACATCACTCTGAGGTCTCTATTCTGTTCTCTTCATTACAAAAAAAATGCTTTTGACTCAGAGATCCCACTTCCAGAAATTTATCCTACAGATATACCCACATTTGTAAGAAATGTGTACAAATAAGGTTATTGATTGGAAAAGGAAAAGATTCAAAATAACCCAAGAGTCTAATAACATCTAAATAATTGATGCTATAACCACACAGCGGGATATTATGTAGCCAGATAAAAGAACAAGGCACTGACTGGGAACATCCCAGAATATACCAGTAAGGTAAAGACAAACAAGACACATAATAGAATGTAAGAGGTGGGGCGAGTGGTGTGTTCTGATTTGCTTGTAGCTGCATAAGGAAACACGGGAAGCATATAGAAGAAACGAAAAAAAGTGGTTTCCTGCCCACTTGGAAGTTTCCGGAATCTTTTGCTATAGTTAGCCCTGGGGGATCAGGGTTGTCAGGGGGAAGACATAGGAGTGCCACTCTCAGGGAAGGCCACGCCGTGAGGTAACACTTTTTGTACCAATTGGACGTATGAACCATGGAAGTAAATGTTAAAATTTAAGAGGCAATAAGAGGTGGCTATGCTCCTCTAAGTTGATTTCCGGGGTGCCCGCCAGGCCCCGCCGGTGCTCACTTACCCAGAGCTGCCACGATGAGGAAAAAGGAGGCTGCCACGAGGAAGACGACGTCAGGCTTGGTGTAGGACAGCAGCTTCTGCAGGGTGGCCCCGGATGCCTGCTCAGGCGGCGACCGGTCCTCCCCAGCGAAGCCCTCGGCCTCGGCGCCTGCCCCCGGCTCAAGGGCCTTGGCATTCGGCTGCACCGTGGACAGCAGCCACCACAGCAGGAAGGAGGCAGCGAGTGAGATGTAGGTCCACACGAAGAGGGCCCAGAACCACGGGTCCCGGACCGGCTTGCGGACCTCGGAGAAGAGCAACAGCTTCACCATGGTGTAGATGCCCGCGAAGAGGCACACGAGGGCGATGACCGTCCGCGAGGCCCGCAGCCGCCGGGGCCCCAGGGCGCTGTTCTTGGCCACGCCGATGGTGGCCCCCAGCAGCAGGCAGCTGCGGTACAGGCAGGCCGCCCAGAGGTCCAGCACCGAGTCAAAGATGTTGAAATGGCGGATGTCCTCCAGCAGGCTGCGGTCCAGGTGGCTGAAGACGTAGATGGTCGTGGTCATGCCAACGTCCGTGCTCATGAAGGCCAGGGTCGCCACCACCGCCTTCCACAGCTGCATCCTGCTGGCTGGCGGTAGGCAGGTGCCGAGGGGCAGGCTCTAGCTCACGGGGACAAGGCCATTCATCGTCTGCAGGGCGAGGCCGGACCTGTCAGGGCAACAGGGCGAGGAATTAGGTTTGCCACTTGGCTATAGCAGGTTTGGAGAGGCGCTTCTCCGGGGCAGAAGCGGGGCTGGGCTGGGCTGGGCTGTGCCTCTGAGCGCTGCCTCTTAACTTGAGTCTGTTCCTTTCTCTCCCAGGGTCTTTATTGCCCCTTCTGCAAAATGGCCGAAGCTCCGGAATCCCCAAGTGGAGGGGGGAGGCATGGAGAAACAGGAGGGGTGATTCTGAGTAGAGACTGGGGAGGGGACCAGCCTGAGAAACCCTCTCTCCCATAACTCTGGTGCTCAAACCAAGGCAACTGACCTCCTGTTTGGGAGTGACAGAAGCCCCACACAACCCCGCGAGGCTGGTGCATCCACATTCCCGTTTACAGTTGGGGAAACTGAGGCACAGAGAGGCAAAAGCATGCACCCCGTATCACTCTGCCAACAAAGGCCCAAGCCGAGACTTGAGCTAACATGTGAAGGATTCCAGAACCTGACTCTCAATTTCTGCATCGCCCGCACACAGCGGGGCCACAGTAACACAAGCAAACAGTTGTGTGACATAGCCCTTCCTATGAACTCAGCCCCTCACATACACCAGGTGCTTTATATGCGTTTGCTTATTTAATCCTTCCGACGACTCCGTGAGATTCGCACTATCATCATCCCCATTAGCAGATGGAGAAGCTGAGACCCAGAGAAATTAATAACTTGCCCAAGATCACACAGTTGGTAAGTAGCAGAGCTGGGATTTGAACCCAGGACTGTCTGGCTCCAGAGTCTAGGCTCTAAACAGCTAAGCTAAAACGCTTGTCAATATAACAAGTGTTAACAGGGAGTGTTCATCAAAGGAAAAAAGAGTCTAGACCAGAGGGGCTCATCCAAGCAGAGTTGGTGGCAATGACAACAATGACAATGACAGCAACAGAAGTAACAACAGCTGACACTTATGGAAGTGAACGTGTGCCTGGCAGTATTCTAAGTGATTTACAGGCATTAATCCTCACAAGAATCCTATCAGGTGGGTTCTTTTATTAGCCCCATTTTACCGTTGAGAAAATCGAAGCACAGAGAGGGTAAGTGACTTGCCCCAGGTCACACAGCTAAGAAGGGGCAGAGCTGGATGTGAACCCAGGCGGTCGAGTTCCAAAGTCTGTGCTTTCAACTCCAAAACCCTAATCCTTCAAACAGCCTCTCTCTCCATGGGGTTGGCAAGACCCCTAACGATGCTCAGGAGGGGTCTGAGAGGCAGAAAGGAAGGACCCAGGGTGTGATCGTCCACAACCCTGGGCCCTGCCTTCACCCCAGCACTTCTAGGCAGACTCAAGTCTGCCCCAGAGGAGACGGTTGCCTTGTCAGCAGTTGCCCCTCCAAGGGAACCCAGGGCTGAGTGGGACCAAGGGTAGGGGAAGGGATGCGGGTTGGGGCCGGGAGAGGGACCAAGCAACCCCCTCCCAGGCCCCTTGCTCCACCCCCACCCCGCTGGGCTGCCAGCGCAGGCTCCTGCCTGCTGCAATGCAGAGGCCTCAGGGAGCCAGTGAGTGGGTGAGCGTGAGTCGGAGCCCAGAGAGGGATGCTCTTGGCCTGGTGCCCCACCAAGCCTCCTGGGCAGGCCAATGCCAGCTGCCCAGGCCCTGCCTGCCACCTCAGCTGCTGCTATCCTCTTGGTGGGCACAGGGAATCAATCTCTCAGCCCCCAGAAAGGAGCTGGGGTTCAGAAGTGGGACAGGAGGTGGATCTGCCAGCAACCAGCTCTGGGGCTTGGCTGGCTCTCCCTGTCCCTACTCCCAGTCACTGGCGAAGTTCCTTCCTGACACCCCTCCACTTTGGGTAATGTCAACCCCACTGGACAGCCACCCACCCGGGAGTCCCAGTTGTTTATCTTCACCGGAATAAACAAAATTTTGCACTCTAGCATTACAGACTCCCTGAACCACGTTTTACAGGCAGGAAAACTGAGGTCCAGAGAGGGAGGTGACAACGCTTGTCGAGGGTCACCCAGCAACTGGAGGCAGAGCAGCAATAGCACCAGGGTCCCCAGCTCCCAAGAGCTGAGTTTTCTACTCCAGGCTGATGGAGCAGAACCAACTCGGGTCGGGTTACAGCTCTAGGAGGGAACAGGCTAATCTCTTATTTTTAAAGTTATTAAGCAGGAGGATGAAGGGGACAAGACCATTGGGCTGCTTGGAGGTATGTCCCTGCTCTCCTTCTGCCTGATTTGGAGGACATAGCCGGGGTCGGCCAGGTGAAGTTGGAGGGCAAACTGTGGACACATGGATGACGTGTGTGGCCTGAGGGACAAGGACAACGTGGTAACCAGAGGCCAGAGTAGGCACTGCCCAGGGCCTGACACAGCCCTGGAAAACAGGGGCAACTCGCCTTGACCTCAGATGCTAAGGAATAGCACAGGATTAGCAAGCCACCCCATCCCCACAGGGGTCTTGTCAAAGGCTTTTCCTCCCAGGTGAAGAAATGCTGGTTGGGGCATCTCCAGCTGTCAGCTGCACAGAACATAATAAATAATAATTATCATAACCGCAACAGCTACCATTTATGGAGTGTTACTAAGCGCTAGGCAATGTGCTAAGTGCCCGGCACCACCCTGGGTGGGAGGCCCTCCCAGGTATCATCCCCACTGTACAGATGGGGATGTGGAGGCTTGGGGGAAATTCAGGGACATGCAGAGATCTGGCAAAGGCATAAAGGCTGAAACGTTTCACTCTCTGGATGGGCCCTGGCCTAGGGACCAAAAGAAAAGGGTGCTCAGTTCACCCCTGACTTGGCGAACTTTTCACCCCACAGTGGTCATTCATGGCCAGTGGTGGAACGGCCCATTCACTGCTTAGCAAACAGTGTTGACTGAGGCCAGTTCTGCCAGTTCTGTGGAATAGTGTGTCACCGTGGGTCTCCAGGGGCAGGGCCAGGACTGGGCTGGGCCCCTGCTGTTCCAGCCTGACTCCCACCCTTGCTGGGCCCACCACATGCCAAGCTGGGACTTAGGAAAGTTTTTTCGGGTAACTCGTGGCTCTGGGTGAGGCACACTGGGGAGCTTACCCTAGCCTTCCGACAATCTTCCTTTTGTCATCTTGCACCTGCCCCATCTGAAGCAGGGGACAGGGGACCAGCCTTTCTCCAGGGGGTGGGACAGTGGGCAGAGGGCAGGGAATCCTGTAAGACCAGCTTAAAGCTATCTTAATGAGCATCAGGCCTGGGGAGGGGGCACCTGTTTTAGCAGAGGCCCAGAAATAAGAGCGGGCCCCTGAGAAAGGCAAGAGGGGCATCGGCCCATCGGCCAGCTGAGGAGACTGAGGGAAAGGGTTTGCCAAGGTGGGCAGGCCCAGCAGGGCCCCGGGGCTTCTGCCACAGCCAGAGCTCAGGCTGTGTGGGCAGGCCCCGCTGTGAGGCATGGGGAGCCCTCAGAAGACACGCCAGTCTGAGCCTGGGGGAGGACAGCCATCGCAGGGTCCTCCCCCAAAGGCATCCCTAACCATTTTCCAAGAGACAGCGGCACCGCAGGGGTTAAAAAAAAATGCAACATTTGCCCTGCGGGCGTGGAGAGGATTCTGCAGGGATGGATGGGGGGTGGAGCTTACGGGCGTGGGGGTACAGTGATAGGGCCAGAAAAGCTCCCAGGAGGCTCCCACCTTCACTGGAGATGCCTACTCCACCCCCGGGGCAGGGGGACCCAGACGCCCTCCAGCCTGTGCCCCGCTTGGCATCCAGGCCTGGAAAGGACCCGGGTCGGGGGTGGCAGACACCGCATTCTTACCTGTTACCTTACCTGGCATCAGGTGAGCCGTGTGGAGGGGGCGCAGCGGGCTCGGGTCTTCAGGGGCGCAGGCTCCGCGCAGCTCATTGGAGACAGCTGGGCGCTGAGCTAGCTCGGCTCCTCGGGCCGCTGCTCTCCACCTCCGCCTCGGCTGCGCCTTGACAAGGTCGGAACCGAGCCGCGCTGGCGCCTAAGCCAGCTGACTGGCGGGGCGGGGCCTCTCGACGGGGCGGGGTCTCCTGGGGGCGTGACCAGAGCTAGCCGCCTGCCCACCTGCGGCCAGCCCCGCCCCCATCTGCCCAGCCAGGCCCTCCGCGCACTGAAATGGCCTCACTTTCTGGGGACCTACTCTTTAACGGGTCTTTTTCTTTGAAGGTGGGGGTTATCCCATTGTGATCCTCATTCATTCACTCATGCACTCACTCATTCATTCAATAAATATTTGTCCAGCCCCTACTATGTGCCGTGCACCATTCTAGGCGTTTGAGATGTGACGTTCAACGAAACAAGGCCCCTGCCCTTCTGGAAATGACAGTCTAGTGAGGGGGTCAGGCGATACACATAACACATAAGTACATTATATGTGTTGGAAGGGAATACATTTTATGGAGAAATACAAAGCAGAGTAGTGGGACTTGGGAGAGGGGAGGCAGCGATATGTACTGAGTGATTACTAGGTGCTAGATGCTAGGTGCTGGGTGCTCAGAATCCTGCCACGTGTAGAAAAAAAGACAGAAAACGCCCATCTTTTTGAAGTGGGGGGAGACAGAAAATCAATGAGTAAACACATAGGGTAATATCTGGGAGTGATAAGCGTTGTAAAGGAAATAAAACTGGGTGAGGCAATGGCAAGTGCCATGGGAGGGCTCTCTGAGAAAGGTAAGGGGTGAGAGGTGAGAAGGCGAAAGCCCCGGAGTCATCTGGGGGAATAGCATTCTAGGCAACAGGAACTCCAAGATGAAGGGCTCGTGGGTGGGAACTCGCCTGGCCATTGGAGGAACAGGAAGGGACCAGTGTAGCCTGAACCAAGAGCTCGGGAGAGGGGGACAAGGCCCAGGGGGGCAGCAGGGTGGGGCACGATATGTCCACATCCCTCTGTCCTTCAGTCAGAGGTTTAAAACAGCCTCTGCTACTCACATGGCACAGTCTTCTTCAAGGGGAATTTGGTAAAGTTCAGAATTTATTTATTTATTTTTTGTTTTGTTTTTTGTTTTAGCTGAGCCATCCTGCTACCTGTTGGCAGCTCAGCGGTTGCTCAGCTCGGGCTGGACTCGAACCGCTGTTGCTCAGAGCTCAAACTCTTGAGTGAGCTCTTAACCAACTGAGCCACTCGGCCGGCCCAAGTTCAGAATTTAAAACATACTTTTTTTTTTTTTTTTGACCCAGTAGGATTTTCTTCTATAGCTAGACTGGTGGAGGGGAGCAAAGATACTAGTTTGCAGATAGTTACTGTAGTAGCAAAAGTCTGGAAATAACCTAAATACCCTTCCCTAGGGAACTGGCCAAATAATTGTAGAGCATCGCTCAACAGGGGAAAGAAATCTATGTACCTATTCACTACGTGGGACAATTAAGTTTGCCAACATGTTGCAACGATGTTGCTAACCTTTTTTTGATATCAGAGGGATTATTTACTATGAATTTGTACCAACTAGACAAACAATTAACCAAGTTTCCTATTTGGAAGTGCTGAAAAGGCTGTGTGAAAAAGTTAGACCACCTGAACTTTTTGCCAACAATTCATGGCTCTTGCATCATGACAATGCACCAGCTCACGCAGCACTGTCTGTGAGGGAGTTTTTAGCCAATAAACAAATAACTGTATCGGAACATCCTCCCTACTCACCTGATCTGGCCCCCAATGACTTCTTTCTTTACCCGAAGATTAAGGAAATGTTGAAAGGAAGACGTTTTGATGACCTTCAGGACATACAACAACAGCTCTGATGGCCATTCCAGAAAAAGAGTTCCAGAATTGCTTTGAAGGGTGGAGTAGGCGCTGGCGTCAGTGCATAGCTTCCCAAGGTGAGTGCTTCAAAGGTGAACGTAGTGATATTCAGCAGTGAGGTGTGGAGCACTTTTTCCAGGATGAGTTCACGAACTTAATTGTCCGGCCTCATATATACAACATTACATAAAGGTATGGAATGACCTCCTTAAACGTACTGAGTAAAAACAAGGGACAGAATAAAATACGTTACTGTTTGTGCAAAAAGAAAAGCAAATATATGATTGTACCTGAAGAACATATCTTGAATGGATTATCCAAAAGTTTGAGTGACTCAGAGCTGGGTTCAAATCCAGGCTCTGTCATTTCTGCTGTGTGAAAATAGCCAACACAATAGTGAAGGAGAGAAAAAAAGTCAGAGAGGACTGACACTACCTGAGTTCAAGATTTACTCTAAAGTTACAGTTATCAACACAGTGTGGTACTGACCAAAGAAGAGGCAGATCAATGGAGCAGAATAGAGAGCCCAGAAATACAGCCATATAAATATAGTCAACTGATCTTTGACAAAGGAGCAAAGGCACTACAATGGAGCAGTCTTTTCAACAAACGGTGCTGGAAAAACATCCACACGCAAAAAAAAAAAAAAAAGAAGAAAAAGCAGCAGCTACACACAGACCTTACGCCTTTCCCAAAAATTAACTCAAAATGGATCTCAGAGCTAAATGTAAAACGCAAACTATAAAACTAGAAAATCACATAGGAGAAAAACCTAGATTTTCTTGAGTATGTTTGATGATTTTTTAGATACAACACCAAAGGTACGATCCATAAAAGAAAGAATTGATTAGCTGGACTTCATCAAAATTAAAAACTTCTGTTCTGTGAAAGATACTGTCAAGAGAATGAGAGAACAAACCACAGGCTGGGAAAAAAAATATTTACCAAAGATATATCTGAAAAAGGACTGTTAATCCAAAAGATACATAGAACTCTTAAAACTCAACAAGAAAACAAATAACTTGATTAAAAAGGAGGCAAAAGATCTGGACATACACCTCACCAAAGAAAATATACAGGGCTGGCCGAGTGGCGCATTGGTTGGGAGTTGGCTTGGGACACCAGCTCTGAGCAGCAGGGCCCCGGTTCCGATCCCACAGAGGGCCAGTGACACTGCCCTCTACAGCTAAGATGCTGAATAATAGCTCGACCTGGAGCTGGGTTGCCGTGAGTAGCCGGCGATGGCGTAGGCTGCAGCCCCTGCTGCAGTGGGCTGCTGTAAGCTACCGTGAGCTGCCGTGAGCGGCCGGCCAATGGCCAGCAAGCGACTGCCTCACCCAGGAAGAGCGCAATGATAATCCTAACATGGGCCAATGAAGTCCACAACTAGACTGAAGAACAAAAGGACAGCAACTTGTCTGTTCCCCTCCCCCGATTCCCAATAAAATCTTAAAAAATAAAAAAAGACAATATACAAATGGCAAATAAACATATGAAAAGATGCTCAAGGTCTTATGTCATCAGGGAATTGCAAATTAAAGCAACAAGATACCACTACATACCTAACAGAATGGCCAAATCCAAAACACCAACACAGCCAAACGCTGCCGGTAACGTGGAGCAACAGGAACGCTCATTCATTGCTAGAGGGATGCAAAACGGTACAGTTACTTTGGAAGATAGTTTGGCGGCATCTTACGAAACTAAACATACCCTTAACCATATAATCCAGCAATCACGCTCTTTTGTATTTACCTAAATGAATTGAAAATTTATGTCCACAGAAAATGGAATATTATTCAGTGCTGAAAAGAAATGAGTATCAAGCCATGAAAAGACACGGAGAAATCTAAAATGCTTACAACCAAGTGAAAGAAGCCAGCCTGAAAAGGCTACACACTATGGAGACATGAAAAGATCAGTGGTTACAAGTGGTTATGGAGGACCAGGGTAAGACTAGACAGATCACAGAGGATTTTTAGGGTGTGAAACTATTCTGTATGCTACAGGCGGTGGTGGCTACATGTCATTATATATTGTCAAAAACCCCAGGATGTACAACACCAAGCGTGAACCCTAAGGTAACACCAAGAGTGAACCCTAAGGTAACAACAAGAGTGAATCCTAAGGTAAACTATAGACTTTGGGTGACAACAATGTGTCAGTGTGATTTCATCGATTGTTACAAATGTCCCCCTCTGCTACTGGGATGTTGTTGTGGGGGAGGCTGTGTGTGTGTGTGTGTGTGTGTGTGTGTGTGTGTGTGGCAGGGCAGAGAGTATATGGGCAATCTCTGTACTTTCAGCTCAATTTTTCTGTGCATATAAAACTGCTCTAAAAAATGAGGTATGTTAAAAAGCGGTTAGAATGGTGGAATTTATATTATGCATATTTTACTGCAATAAAAAAGAGAAGAATGCTCATAGCAGCTTCATTCATGACATCTCCAAACCGGAAACGGTGCAAATGCCCATCAACTGTAGAATGGCTCAGTGAACGGTGGAATGGTCCCCCAGTGGAAGATTATGCAGCAAGAGAAAAAGAACAGTCTGCTGCTACACACACCACAGATGAATCTCAAAAACAAAGCACTGTGTGCAGGAAGCAGTGTACAAAGTAGTGATACTATACAATTTTATTTGTATCAAAGTCAAGTACAGGCAAGACAGATCTTTGCTTTTAGGACCCTTGGGAGATGGGTAGTGACAGAGGGGACATGGAGAGTGGGGGATGGGCTTCTGTGAGGCTGGACTGTTCTGCTTTGGATCTGGGTGCTGATTACATAGGTGTCTAGTTTGTGAAAATTCACCAAGATGTACACTTACGATTTGTGCCCTTTTGGTACCGGTAGTACATGTTAACTCAAAGGAATGTGGTATATACACATATGTACATATACATACACACACGCACACATATATGTGCCCCTCTGGAACCAGACAGAAGGATGAGTGTTCTAATTCTCACAATGTTTATGACCCTAGACAGGCCCCTGAACTTTACGGAGCCTCAGTTTCCTCATCTGTAAAATGGAGATAATGGAAATACCTCATGAGCTCAACAAAAATATGCCACTGCTGGCTGGCAGTCACACTGATTTGTGCTTACTGTTAATATTCTTCTTCCTGCCATTCTCTTTGGTGACTGAACCCAGGCTGGGGCAGGGTGGGGGCGGGGACACTGTTTCCAAGGAGGAGGAGGGCCCTGGGGAAGGCCAGTGCAGGCTGACAAGCAGAACACGCTCATCTTGCAAACTGCTGTAAAGGGAGAAACTTGACCGGGTGAGCTGGGGGAAGGCTGCATGAGCCAGGCCTGCACAGTGGCAGGCTGGAGAGCCCGCCTGCCCTGGGCCTCCCGGGGGAGATAGGCAGTTAGCCGTGTGCTGAACGTCAAGCTGGGGAAATGATCTTTTCCTGGATAGCAGGGCCCTTTACTATCGCTGGGCAATCAAGACATCCATGAAACTTTAAACACCTTCTCAGGCCCCACAGCTCTGGGCCAGTCTCCCCCTTAAGGAAGACTGGTCACTTTATAAGTCTTGGGCTGGGCCCATGGTCCCCATGGCCCAGTAACCTTGATTTCATGCCTGAATTGAAGAGAGCCATGGAGACCTGGCTGTAACTTTATGAACCCAGCAGAGTCAGACTTGGGTTCCACTGCAGACTATGGAGTCTGCGATGGCGCTTATGAGCTGTGTAACCTTGGGTGGATCATTCAACTTCTCTGACCCTCATTTTCCATATCTGTAACACGGGGATAGTTCCTATGTCATAGGGTTTGTTGTGAGGATTAAACAGCTTCCCTGTGCACAGAGGGTAAAATCCAAAATGTTAACTATGGCCTCCCATGCCCTGTGATTTGGCCCCAATACCACCAGGCCCCGTTCCCTATGGTTCACCCTTTGAAACGCCCTGCCCACCGCACAGCCTCTGCGCTTTCAGTTTCCCTGCCTACAATCCTCTCCTGCCAGATCTTGCTGCAGCAGTTAGGACTCAGCTGAAATGTCACTCTTTGGAGGGACTCCCTGTCCCCTGTCTAAAGAGGACACCACGAGGTACTTGCCATCCTATCACCCACTTTATCTCGTAGCACTCACAACTGAATGAAAATGACTTGATCGTGTAGTTGTTTCCTTCCTTGCTTGTCTCCCCTGCCCCCCACCTTGACTGAAAGCTTCAGAAGGGCAGGGACCTTGTCTGTCACTCAAAACATACTTCCAGGGCTGCCAGAGTGGCTCAGTTGGTTAAGAGCTCGCTCAAGAGTGCGAGCTCTGAGCAACAGGGTTGCCGGTTTGATTCCCGGCCCGAGCTGAGCGCCACTGAGCTGCCAACAGGTGGCAGGATGGCTCGGCTAAAAAAACAACAAAAAAAACCCCCACACTTCCACATGCACACCTCACACACTTGTAGACACACTCACACATTCATAGCCATACACTCAGGAGGGTCTGACAGCCCTGCCCAGTCAGTGTGAAAAGCAATCAGGCTGTTGGTGTATGCTTTGCCCAGGGAGCAGGGGCCCACCCCTGGCCCCCCAAGGCACTGGGGACAGGCGGGGAGACTTTGATGGCTGGAGCCTTGGACCCCCAAATGAGCTGATAGAGACAGCTGGGGAGGACGGCCTGGCACGGTATCGTGGAAAACGAAGGTCTCTCATCGCCCTCTGGGCTGTGGGGTCCCTTGTGTGGGCCTCCGAGCTCAAGTTGCCATGAGAAGAAAGGAACAGGGCTGTGCCTGCCTGTGTGAGTGTGAGCAGGTGTGACTTGTGCGAGTACGTGTGTGAGGCTGTGCATGTCTGAGTGTGCGATACTGGGCGTGCAAATACCAGTGTGTGTTGATGGCATGTGTGGTTGCATGTAAATGTTAGCATGTACGTATGTGCTGGAGTACATGTATGCATGAGTCACATGACTCACATACATGTGACAAGCACAAAGAGAAAAATCAAATTCCATCAGTGTCACCCTCACCACTGAACCCCCATTGTGAACCGGGAACTCAGAGGTCAGACTGCTGGGTTCAAACCCTATATTTGTTCGTTACTGGTGATTGAGCTGGGGCAGGTCACTGCACTTCTGAACCTGTTTCCCATCTGTAACATGGTGCTATAACAAGTACCCAGCTCAAATATGTGCTGTAGGGATGAAAGGAGACGGGGTGGTGGTGGTGATAGATCCACAGGTACAGCAGAGAGAAGGCCTGGTCAGCAGTTGTCATTTGTAGTTAGTCACCTGTTTACCTGGAGTAAGGGCTGGAGTCTTGGGGCCCCAGAATCTTCCTCCCTACCCCCATCCCCGCACCATGCTGAGCTGTGGAGGGAACTCTAGGGCAGGCAAGGGGCAGTTCCAAGAAACACGACTTGCTTCCTTGCTCCACGCGTTGCTTTTCCCATCTCAGTAATAGGGTTGTCTTCCATGCTTCTTCACAGAGCTTTGCAGAACTGGGCCTGCGGGGTGCATGACGGGGTCCCAGAGGCAGGGTTTGTGTGTGCTGTGATAGGTCTCCCCGAGGTTGCGACCCACGCTCTGTAAGACAGAGGAAGACTGCGCGGTGCAGAAAGCGACCCTATTCATGGGGGTGTGGCCACGGGAAACCACTCCCCATTCACCGCCCACATTTGAATGGTTCGGGAGCGCCACCGGAAGTCACGTCCGACGGAGTGTTTTCGTGGAGACACTCACTGGGCAATCGGCGAATTCTGGTGGCCGTGGCAACCGGAGAGCGGAGCAGGGACCTAGGACAAATACTAAATGCAAGCTCAGACGCACAGAACAGGATGGTTCATAGCAGTTGGAGGAAACGAGATAGGACCGCAGAGCGCCTTCACCTGTCCTCGTGGGGTTGGCTGGTTCTTTTCAAAAGCTCCGAGCAGAAAAGGGAGACTGCAAAGTCTTGGGGTTCCGAGTCCCTGCTTCGCGTCCGTGAAGGTGACTTTCACCTATCTGTAAAGTGGGGCGATTAATCTCCGCCTCATGAATGGGGACACTGTGAGGCGGAACTGAGAAGGCCCCACACCGGCACTGGAGCATCTTTCTGCACCGCAGACCGTTTACTGGGGCGGAGTCTTCGTTCTTTTCTGCGCTTGGAAATTTGGAGCGGACCCTTGACTGGTTTCCCCGCCTCCCCGGACCCCTTCGGAGAGGGGCGTACCCGGAAGTGCTCCTACGGAATCCGGCGGGCAGTGCTCGCCTCTTCACCATGGCGACGGCCCCGCGGCGCTTTTTCCGATGCGCCTGCTTCTGCTCTGAGAACTTGTACGTGGCGCGCTACGGGCTGCATGTGCGCTTCCGGAACGAGGAGCAGCTGCGCCAGGACTATGGCCCTGTGAGTGGCCTCCATCGGCTCTGCGGAGCACGGGCGGGGAGGGATAGTAGGGGAGGGACCCTTGTCCCGCGGTCGTTTGCTTCGCCCGTGGCGCGCACCGCGCGTGCTTCGATCTGACAACAAGAATGACTTCACCTCTCAGTGCCTCGGTTTTCTCACCTTAAATAGGGATAACTACCTCCTTAGCGAGGTTGTCATGAGGAACGAACTAACATACATGTAAAGGGCTTAGGGCGGGGCCTGGCTTCGTGCTTAACATGCTTATCGCATTTCACCCTCGATGATCCTGTTAGATCGGGGCTCTCATCTCCATTTTAGGAGGGGAAACTGAGGCTGAGATGTTAAGTGACTTGCCCAGGGTCACACAGACCTTTTTGCTCCCAGATCCTGCGCAGCAGAGGCTGCGTCAGCCCCAAGGACTTCCAACAGCTGTTAGAAGAGGTAACACTCCCGACCCTCCGCTGCCCCCTACACACCCAGCCTGGCCCTTCCGTTTTAGATTTGTGTCAGCAGTTTGAGGGCTCTCCCAGCTTCAGACCTGCCAGTCCCAGGTCCCTGAGGGGCTCCTTAAACCCTCCGCTCCCACTTCCTGTCCCCACTCACCGCAGCACCTGGGTTCTGGCACCAGAAAAAGAGAAAGAGGAAAATGCCAAATTGTCTGCTTCATGCCCTTCTGGGATGAGAAACTTGGGCTCAAAGAGGGGAGTCACTTGCCCAAGGTTTCACAGCAGCTGGGGCTGAGGTCCCTCCCAGGGCTGCCAAGCTCCTGGCTATCCCAACCCTGAGCCTGCTTAGGCTGGCCCCAGGGCTGCTCGGCTCCCTCCTTGTTCCTCACCTGGGGGTGAGTGTGGGAAGCTTCTCAGGAGAGCCCTCTGCAGCCTCTGGGACACAAGACTTGGTTGGGACTCTTCCCCTCGCTGAGTGGGCCCAGCTGGTTGAGGTGCATCTAAAGGCTCTCCTCCCAGCCATGCTCAGGCTGGTGCAGCCCAGAGTGGGATGGGCCCCCTTCTGGAAGGAGTTCCCTTCAGCTCACAGCTTGGCACCTGCAGTCGACCCTGCCCGCGTCAGGAGTCGAGGGAGACTTGGCTGTCAGCCTGGGCCCTGCTCTGGCCTTCCTGAGCCTCAGTTTCCTCGTCTGTACAATGGCCTTGGGAGGTGGGGGGTGGGGGAGGCCCTGTCCTGGTAAGCAGGCCCTGTGCCACCCCAGCTTGAGCAGGAGGTGAAGCGGCGGCAACGGCTGGGGCAGGAATCAGCTGCCAGAAAAGCCCTCATCGCTAATTCCTACCGCCCGGCGAGGCCAGAAATCTACAACGCGCTGCAGGTACCCGGCAGGGGCAGGTTACTGGGAGGAGGAGGCATCCAGGCTGGAGGGAGGCGTGGGGGGCTGCCTGTCCCACAGCTGGTGTGTTTTGCCCCTAGGATGTGGTTCTGGCCCCCGAGTTCCTGGCTGCATCTGAGTACAGCACATTGCCGGGCGCAGACCTCAAGGGCCTGCTCCAGCGGCTGGAGACAGTATCGGGTGAGGTCTGGGCCCCGTCACCTGACAGGACTAGAGGGTGTGAGACTGGGGTCCCTCTGCCGATCCTGTCTGCCTCCAAAAACCAAACCATCAGGAGCTAGAGAGTACAGGGGCGAGGCATCTGCATTCACTCACTCACTCGCCCAACACGTAGTTATTGAGTGCCTTGTACCAAGCGTGAGCCAGCTGGGGATGACTGAAGAGCTTAACGAGGACAACTGAGACAGGTATAGGCTGGGCTTAAGGGATCAGCAAGGAATGGCGAAGGACACCCCCCAGGGCTAACAATAGTGGGGAGCAGTTCCCGTCCCTAGACCTGAAGGAGTGGGCAAGAGTGAGTTTCTTGAAGCTGTTACAACCTAGAGCTGTAGGAGGGGCTGCCAGACAGCCGCCACCATAGCCTTGAGCAGAGGCGCACAGCCATGCCCCACTCCGAAATGCTCTCCGCCTGCCCGATGTCCTGCCTGGGTCTCCCTGTCCTGCCTGGGTCTCCCGTTGACTAAACCCAGCAGGAAGTTCCAGGCCAGGGAGCCTTGCAAGTTCCCTCGTCCCTGTTTCCTCATCTGTGAAATGGGAGCGATAATCCCACTCATCTCGAAAGTTGTGCTGGTCAGTGAGAGGGGTACATAGCAAGTGTTTTTCTAGTCTTACGATTACTGTTATCCCGGGTTGGGGGCATACCGTGGGGAGACAGATAGAAAAGCTGCTCCCCTTAGGGAACCTGCACCCTGTTGGGAGCACAGGGTGGAATGTGGAATGGAATCCCGCTCCCAGCTTCGGGGGGCCCCCCCGCATTGCCTTCCACTTCCCAACAGTTGAGATTGTGCAGAGGCTGGTGGGCCTGGGCCTGGGCTGTGAGTTGGCCAAAAGTATGTGTGTGGGGGCACACGAGCCCTGCACCCTAGGGGCATTGGTGCGTCTGCCAAGAAATGTTCCTATTTCCATTCTGAGCCTGGCCTTGCCCCACCAGGTCCCTGCGAGAAAGAGGAGCTTCTCTCAGCCTTCCTGTGTGGGAAACAGAGGCTCCAGGAGACATCTGAGTTGGGGTGCAGACTTTGGCGGCTTGTCGGGGGATGGATGGAGAGACAGCCTGAGGCTGGCTCTGTGGTGCTGGCTTTGCTCCATGGCTGGCCTGCTGTGTGTCTTTGAGCTAGTCCTTTCCCACCTCTGGGCCTCATCAGAACTCATGTCTGAGTGTGGAGGCTAGGCCTGTGGGCACCCGTGAGAGGCCCCAGGGACGAGCGGGGGGTCCAAGAATAGCATTTCCCCGCTGCACACATGGTACATCATTTGATCATCACAACAGCCCTGAGAAGGGAGTGCCCGCATTACCCCCATTGTACAGATGAGGAAACTGATACTGGGGGAAGGGAAAAGACATGCCCAAGCTCACACAGCTCACAATGGAGAGACTGAAACCCACACCGGAGCTCCCGGCCAACAAGACTGTCTGTTCTCCTGCAGAGGAGCAGCGGATCTACCGGTTGCCCGTTTTCACGGCGCCGTTCTGCCAGGCCCTGCTGGAGGAGCTAGAACACTTCGAGCAGTCGGACATGCCCAAGGGGAGACCTAACACCATGAACAACTATGGGGTGCGTGAGGCTCCACCTGGTGGGCCTAGGAGGCAGGGGCACCTGGGTCTGGGGAGACTTACCTGCAGTGCTTGCTGCAAACGAGCTGTGTGGCCCTCTCTGTCTGCAAAATGAGATCATGGAAGGATTGTTAGGAAGTTCAACAAGTCAGGGGACTCCCCCAGGGAACCAGGGTGAGGCCCCACCAGTTTCCCTGCCGACCCCTGGGGATCCCCTCCCAGGTGCTGCTACATGAGCTGGGCCTGGATGAGCCGCTGGTGACGCCACTGCGGGAGCACTTCCTGCAGCCGCTGATGGCCCTGCTGTACCCAGACTGTGGTGGGGGCCAGCTTGACAGCCACCGTGCCTTCGTGGTCAAGTACGCACCGGGCCAAGACCGCGAGCTGGGCTGCCACTATGACAATGCTGAGCTGACCATCAACGTGGCCCTGGGCAAGACCTTCACGGGGGGCGCCCTATACTTTGGGGGCTTCTTCCAGGTTAGTGTGTGTGACCCATGGGGCAGGACCTGGGGCAGCCGGGACTGCCCAGGCCTGAGTCCAGCTGTCTGCAGGCTCCTTCAGCTCTGGCCAAGCCCCTGGACGTGGAGCACGTGGTGGGCCAGGGCATCCTGCACCGGGGCGGCCAGCTGCACGGGGCCCGGCCCCTGGGCACTGGCGAGCGCTGGAATCTCGTCATCTGGCTCCGGGCCTCTGCTGTGCGCAACCGTCTCTGCCCCATGTGCTGCCGCAAGCCTGACCTGGTGGACGACGAGGGCTTCGGCGACGGCTTCACCCGAGAGGAGCCCCCCACAGTGGATGTGTGTGTGCTGACTTGAGCCTACTTGGGACCTGTGTGTGTGGAGGGCTCTGCCACTATGGGTCAGGTGGGGCAGAAATAAACTCCCCGCAGCCCTTGGCACTTCTTAGTTCAAAAGGACAAGCAGGCTTCTGGGTCATTTTTTCAGTAGTCAGGCTGGCTTAGGTCGGGTTTATTAGAATCAGAGCCTGAGATTCCTGTGCAAGTGGTTTATGGAGGGAATACCCTCAGGAGAAGGGCGTCAGGGAAGCAGGACAGGGCAGGAAGGAGCTGGACCAAGATGTGGGATTAGATGGCGTCTAAAATCAGGCCATTCCCACCAGAGCTCTGGGGCATGCATCTACCAATTTGCCTCCAGCATCAGTTATTGGCTACAAGGTGTGTGTGTGTGGGGGGGGGGTGGAGGGGGGCGAATAGCTTCCCAGACAGCCACCTCTAGGACAAGTGGCTCCCAGTGGCCAAAGGAATCTTCCTGAGAAACGTCCAGATGTGAGCTGTCAGCAGTGACATTACAGCTAG